AGCAGTTTGGAGAGACAAACAAAGTAAAGAACAAAAAAAAAGAAAACTATTTATCGATTATTAAATTAGTCATCAATTATTTTAATAATCAATTAGTCGTTGATTAATCAATTAATCGTTGCAGCCCTAGCTGAGTGAATCATGTACTCTGCAACAACAAGAATTTATAATAAAAACCTAATGAGGCATGTCATAAAAGCTGTGGCCAGTTATTAACCATGAGATTTAATCAAACTGAACTTACTAGAAAGACAGATAAAAGCACAAGGGAACATTATGTTAAGATTCTTTTAAAACTTGGTAAAGCACAAAAAAAATCAAAAGATTCAGATGTACTATTCATGCTGTCTCAAACTTCTGCCAGGATTTATTCAAAATGTGGTCACAGAGGCACCGATTATGCAAAGAARCCCAGGTGTTCTGATCCACAGCATTTCATTAGGTTCCAAAACACCCAAAGGTCAGAGAGAACATGTACTATATGCTGGAATATCAGCGTGAAAAAGGATATGATTGAATTATAAAGTAGTGTTTTGTTTCCCTCATCTTATAAATGACTCATTTTAGCCATGTGAACATGTGTAGCAGAACATTCAACCYAATTCCAAAAGAAGCAGGAACATTTTGTGCAAAAAATGCATTAAATGCTGATTGCAGTGATTTGCAAATTTCAAAAAGTCATATTTCCCCACAATTACAGACTACATTAAACAAATGTGATGTTCTTTATCGTTTTCCCTCAAAAATTATAAAATTTCTTAGCAACTTATTTGATAAGTTTACTAATTCACTGTAAAAAATTGGTTTAAAATGGCTTTATAATATTTGCAAATCATTGCATCCTGTTTTTAGTTTTTAGTGATGTTTTACACTCCAACAAAAGCATAATTTCCTAAAATACTGCAATGTTTTAGTAACTGAGCTCGCACCAGGGAGAACAGAACAACTGCACATTATCAAAAAAGTTGCCTTTTATCAGATTCATAAAATCTTTGAACCAAGTAAACTGTTCAAATATTCTTAAAGGGGACCTATTATGCAAAATTCACCTTTTAAAGGTTTTTTTTACTCAACTTTGGGTATGTACTTCTTAAAAAAAACAGTCCTAGGACCAAAAAATGCACCCAGGGGCATATTTACTGTAAGTAAATGTATTTTTAATGTATATTAACGACAAGTTTTATACTCCCGTCATTTTGTGATGTCACAAGCCGTACGACAACCCACCGGAACCTGCGTTCAGCCCCTCACCTAGCAACCCCCGGGTGAGGCTCCACCTCCTCAAAAGAAAAAGCTGTCACCGTATTGTTGTGCAATGTGCAGCTCAGTTCACAACAAGCCTCCAGTAGGGCAATGGGTAGAGTGTTTGAACAGAGGGTGGGAGACCAGGGTTTGAAACCGGCACGACACTATTTAATTATTTATTTATTTTTGTTCGTTATGAACACGTTTTCTCATGTACCTCTATTGTTTAGCTTATTAAAGCCTTGTTAAAGCCTATTTGTTTGAGTTTCTGAGGTATTTTGACCGCTGCTGCTCCCGGCTCTGGTAACAACATGCAGAGTGAGGCCAGAGCAGAGGAGGGAGAGGAAAAAAAAAGAAGCTGGAACCACGACTCTGCCTCTGGGTCTCATATGGTTGTACAACGGAGCTTCTGCTATCATTAGAACAAAACACAAAAACATGGACAATAGGTTGCCTTCAGGCCCAGGCCGCCCTTGAAAAAGAGATCTGAGATCTCAATGGGATTTGCCTGGTAAAATAACAGTAAAATAAAATTAAAAAAATTAGCCATGCTAACGTAAACGCTGGCTTTGGAGGGCGGAGTTAATGTCAACAGATTTTTGGAGGGCGTTACCAACAGAGCTCATTAACATAAACAGCTCTTCTGAACRGAAGTCAGAGCAGGCAGAACTAGAAAATGGGAAATTTTATTATCCGAGAATTATTTTGTGCATTAAATTGAACGAACATGGTCTGGATAGCCCACAGACATACCATAAAAATTTCTAGGACCCATAATTGGTCTCCTTTAAATTTTGTACCCTGTAGCAGATCTAAAAGTCACTCCTTAGACCAACCAGAGGAGTCATGACTTTTCTTGTAACTGTGTCACAAAGCTCCAAGCAAAATGAATTATAAACAATAAAACATAATGACGGGGATTTTGTTCCATTTACTGTACCTGGAGGAAAACCCCTGGAGCACACAGTGCATGATATTCAGTTCAYCCAACTTTATTCACAGTGAATGCATTCATGTCAGAACATAATGAACAGGATTTATGAGTTTGTTGTTGTTGTTAGTAGCAGYTTACTACATTCTCATTACAACAGTTGTATATCTATGTAAATACAGGCCTGTTTAATAGGATGTAAATAATCATACTTAAGAATGTAATAAAAAGGCAGAACATTATAATTAATTTTACGATAAGATAAACCAGTCAGTATTAGTGAGTTAGTAAAATCTGTAATCCCTCGTACCGTTTGAGTTGTGTGGATGAGTTCTCTCTTCTCTTTCCTCAGGGCGTTCAGCTCCCTCTCCTTCTCCCTCTCCATCTCCCTCAGCTGTTTCTCCAGCTGCTGGACTCGCTCCTGAAAAGTCAGACAAGTATTTCCATCAGCTTCAACCGCCACATGGTTTCCTCTTCACAGAAGAGCCGCAACAACATCCTGCAGCTGATTCATCTGGCTGGCATGAGTTTCAACAATTTGTTCAAAATGCTGAGATTTAATCTTTAAAAAAAAATCCCAGAAGAGCTGGTCTGTGTCTGAGTGCAAACTGCACTGACCGGATCAAACAGATCTTTTCAGTGGAGACAAGACGCAAATTAAATGTTGATTTTGTAACTATCCTGAATTTGTATTCACAGAGTTTTAGTCCGAAGACTGGTTTTACACTAAGAATTAAATCATAAATTAATACAGTGTATCTGAAGTATTACTAAAGAGCTACTCTTACAACCCAGGCTCCTTCTTTGAGCGATAGAACTGTCTGTAAGACCTAATATTTGGCCAGCATATTATAATTGGCAAATAATGGCCACACTTGAATAAAATTAAAAAAAAAAATCTGCAATTAGCCAGTCTTGTGCATTATAAAAACAAATGCAAGTAAGAAAATGATACAACCAGTAGTGCAGCACAAAAATGGACACCTACAACAGAAAACCTCACATCAGTTGATGCAAAAMCTAAAAGATAAGCATTTAATTATTTATTTGCTTCTGTAGAGCTGGGGGGGGTTCTACTAAAAATCTCAAACTAACATTTGTTTAACTAATTGAACTGACAACTCATCACTTGAGGTAAAACAAAAGAATATTAGTACRTTTTCTGGAGCCGGCACCTTGCAGCTACAAATGGTTTGCGTGTTTTTGTTAGTTTCACATCTGACACTAAGTCACAATTTGGTGACAAACAAAATGTTTAATTAAAGAAGAACCTGTCCAGAGGACCTATTTATTTTTTATTTGTTTTTTTTTGTTCTACCTGGATTACTGAGATGCATCAGGACACCAAGTGACAATATTTCTCTGTTGCACAGTTTAAAGAGTTAACGCATATGGTTTTTGGCACGTGTAATGTTTGGCTAGAGATAAAAGATAACTGTCTTGTGCTAAATTAAACTAAAAAACCTCTCTAAAACAGGTCAACAGACTGAGGTTTGAAGAGGAGCAGGATGAATAATCTCTATGGTTTTGGAATAGTATCGGTATCAGCTGATATCTGAATGTATGGGTGCTGCCAGCGTTACTGCAGAGATTAGTGCTCAGACTATATGCCGCACGCTGTATCAGACTGGTCTGCATGGCTGTCATCGCAGAGGGAAGCCTCTTCTAAAGACGATGTACAAAAAAGCCAGCAAACAGTTTGTTGAAGACAAACAGAATAAGGACATGAATCATCAGAACCATGTCCTGTGGTCTGGTGAGACCAAGATAAACTTATTTGGTTCAGATGGTGTCATGAGTGTGGCAGCAACCAGGTGACGATTACAAAGACAAGTGAGTCTCGCCCACAGTCAAGCATGGTGGTGAGAGTCTAGTGATTTAGGGCTGCCAGTGGGAGGCTACAGTTCAATGAGGGAACTATGAAGGCCAACATGTACTGTGACATACTGAAGAAAAGCATGATCCCTTCCTTTGGACAACTTGGCCTCTGGGCAGTATTACATCCTAAGGACTTCAAAGGCGACCACTGCCTTGTTAAAGAAACTGAAGGTAAAGGTGCTGGACTGGCGGAGCATGTCTCAAGACCAGAACCTTGATGAGTATCTGTTGGGCATCCTCAAACTGAAGGCAAACATGMACAAGGTCTCTAACATCCACCAGCTCTGTGATGTCACCAGGGGGTAAGAAGTTCCTGTTAGTGTCACTATTTGAGGAGGGGAGGAGGGATAAGTCTTAACCTGAAGTAAAAACCATGAACTGTACCACATCAGATCTGTGAGCTCATCCTAATCTGATGTTCCGTGTCTTCTGGGAAATAAGTAAATAAGAACTTTAGTTTTAGCTCRAACCTTTATCTGGGGAAGACGAACTGTGCTGAAGATCAATGCCAGACACTCTGTGATTATTTTAGGAGGAGCACAGATTTAGTGACTTTGAAGTTGACTCTCTGGTCCGCCTTCTGCTTATTTTTACTGTCAAACTAATTAATTTCACATGGTGCAAAACGTTTTTTGCCAGAAAAGAAAAATCGAAACCATTTGAAGTTGGAAAATTAGAAAGGAACTGTTTCGGAGTGAATTCAACATGTTTGCATGTACACTATTTGTGGGTCAACTAAAGGGATGTATTTCTATGAAACTGTGTCCAACTTCTGTGTAGAGATGAGTCTCACTGTTTGACAACTGAACAACTTTGACATCCCAAGTCTGCACTAAGAAAGGTCTTCTCTGGAGATAAATATGGAGCACTGATAAGCTGCAAACCCGTGGAAAGCCTCAGGAAGAAGCGTTGAAGAAATCCTCCTTGAGGCACCTTGTTTACCTGTGCTGTGTTGACCACGTGCTGCTGACATGAGATTTCCTTCTCCATCTCCTCACTCCCCCCCTCCTGAAGTATCTCCGACGTGCCGWCCTCTTCGTCAACGCCGCTTTCTTGTTCCAGAACACGAAACTCCCAGTCTTCAAAAGCCCGAACTTCAGCTTCCATCGCCTCCTTCTCCTGAAAAGCGAACAAAAAAACAGTTTCCATCAGCTGTCTTTTTGTGTTCAACAGGCTGACAATGTTTTGCTTTAACTTAAGAGTGTATTCACACCAGTTCTGTTCAGTCCGCTTTAAATTAAACAAATAATAAATCCTACAACCACTAAARTCTGACATTATTCCATGTTTGTTTACATTTTGTGAAGAAGAAAGTTGCGCTCAATGGGCCTCATGTTCGTATTCTTATCCTAAATTTCTCTTACTTTTGTTCGTACGAAGGGTTCGTACGAACATGTCACGTCAGATTCAACAAACTCTTCTATCTTCAGGAAAAGTGTGTAAATGAGCTGCGTAAACTAATGAATGTGTATCAGGTGCTCGTGCACGAGGAGAGGTGATTAGCATAATCACCACCCCAAAAACACCATATAAGGCTATGTTTCCTGCCCCAGGTACCAGGAAGTGTCCATTCATAAATGACATCGCAAAGTAAAAAATAGGGATGCACCGATACCGATACCAGTATCGGGTATCGTCCGATACCATGTGCGTTAACTCGTACTTATAAAAGTCCTCCGATACTAGAGGACCCGATACCAGCTTCATTTCGCTCAGTTTGTGCATAGACGCTCTAAASCAGCAGGCGGCGGAATCGCGCAACAGACTTAATGCCAGCCGCATAAAAAAAAACAGAAGAAGACGACGACCATGTTAGCCGAGCTGAACAAACTTTAACAAGCAAGCAGTTTGTAGAGGAGGCGTTATGTCAGCGGTGTGGAGGTATTTTCAGGTGACAGTAGTAAGACGTCATCCCTGCTGTGACCGTGCTTCTGAGACTCCTAAACAAAGACACTGGTGAAGATCACAGGATCAAAACAATGAAGTCCACTTTGGCTGCAGCTGTCAAGAGGCGCTTCACTGATGCTGAGAAAAAACCCCTCTACTGCATCTCAACTGTACTGGATCCAAGGTAAATTAAATAAATAAAAATGATTAAAAATAATATAAGCCTTGATTTGCCTAAAAATATTTTTTTATTTTTATAAGCGTTATTTGCCAAGTAATCTGATGGAGGAAAAATCATTATGACCAAGCTACAACAWGTTACAAATTAAACATTTATTACTTAATTGCAATTAATTGAACATACTACAAAATGAGTTTATTTAGTTTAGTTTATTTATATAGTTGATGGTACAATGCTCTAATATCCAGTGAGGGCCCTGTAACACATTTTAGATAACTTGAGCGGATCATTAAAATTTTTTACATCTACGATGAAGGTGGCATAAAAAATAAATCAACTGGAAGTCTCTTTTAGGTGTATTAGGTTTATTTATTTATTTTTTGTACATGCTGTCATAGTATGTTATATGACAGTAAAATGGTTTTAAACCAATAGTAATGCACTTTGTTTCTTTATGTTTGAAATGCCTAATGAAAGTAAACAGTTTAAGTTAATTATAAGGATTTTTAAGGATATTTATTAGTACTTGTATCGGTACTTGGTATCGGCAAGTACTTTAATGTAAGTACTTGTACTCGTACTCGGTTTTCAAAAATCTGGTATTGGTGCATCCCTAGTAAAAAAAGAAGAACTTTACGAGTTTGGAGATTGAAGTCCTGCTCTCAGAGATAAAAAAAAAAAAGTCATTTTTAGCAGCGTCAGACCTGCTGAAGCCGAGGAATGAAAGGATGACTGCTGTTAATGTCGTGTCTCCTGTGGGTCRTATACAGACACAGAAATAAAAATCTAAATCATATTCATCTCTCTCTAGGCCTGCTGCAGTTTTTCTTTGGTCAAATATTTTTTAATTTAAGTGTAAACAACTGTTTTACATAATTTTTATTTATTCAGAATAAGAGCGGTCGCGTATCGCTACAAGACTACAGTACAAGACTATCTAATAATCAGAATAGCTCACATGTCCTGCCATCATACACATACTTGAGTCATTTTCGTGCACGAATGAGGTTTTCTTTAGAAGCCAAACTGGTTTCAAACAAAAGACATGTTGCAACAGACRACGACAACTGCACCAAACCTGTCATTAAAACTAATTTCTAATGCTGACAGATCTGTTGTCTTGTTCTGACACATTCAGGGAGGAACACACGTCCCATCTTCAGAGTGGGTGTTTGTAAGACTCAGAAAAGCAGAAATACTTCAGGTTAAATTGGCGCTGACGATCAAACAGGGTGGAAAACAACAGGACCCAGCACTGATGCCAACACACCCTTTACACCTGTTTGTTAAAACTACAAAGCGGGCAACAGGTGCAGTCCTTCCTGTAATTCCAGTACTCTCACACATAAAACATTTTAAAAGAGTTGTTTGTATGTTCCTTAGTTTAAGTAAGTTTAGATCAAAACTGTTAGCAGCTAAATGTGATGAAAAATGTTTTTCTTTTTAAGAAATGTTGGATCTTTTGTGAGGAAAAACATGTCCGTTATCAGATAAACTGACTTGTAAGGAAATGTATCCAAAGTAAACAAGATTAAGTGATAGATAGATGTGTTCTTTTTGGAAATCTGCCCAACTGTAGCTGCAGCACCAGTGTACTTCACAATAATATTAACTTTCCCTTTCTTTCCTCTCTAAAATTCAGAACAAAAGCTTCAGCTTGTTCTGACTATCACTTTCCTATAATTTAACATAGTAATTAAAATCATAAATGCCTATTTAAAGAGCGTTTTGTTGATTTTATGCGTTTCTAGATCAGTAATCTAAATAAAATTATTAAAAACTACAAAATACAACAGGGATAAAAGGTATCCTGAACTATTTTATATGTTGCAGTTTGAAAAAGTTTACTCAAATAACTTTCCATATACACTGAATGCATTTGTGAAATGCAGGTCCACACTCAAGGTAAACAAAGCATGAATACTTTAAAAAATCCATGGAAGCCTGAGACACAGCCTGTGTAAGTAAACAAATATGGCTGCTAAGTTTAATGATTCATGCTGTTTCTGTATGTAAATAAACACAAATGGTAGTTATTTGGTCACAAGCTTTTTCTAACAGTTTATCCATTAATATGAGAAAAATACTGTGCAGGTTTTGTTTTCTGATTAAAAATCTGTTTTGGATTGGTCTTCATGATTTTGCAGTGTAGAAAGGAGGATTAGGACCACAGTGGGAAAAAAATGCTTCTGACTTTTAATGAACACCAAATATAAAAATCAAAAATATTTTCAACCACATTGTAAATCCGATGACTCAGATCAAATTTTACAACAAAAACAAAGATTTGTCCTCTATGTAGTGGTACAATAATCCTCTCCTCCAAGAAAAAAAAGATGTGGAAATAAATCTTTTGCTGTTTTGATGACCTCATTTTCTAGGAGACTTATCTGACTCTGTCCAGTCATGCTGAGCCGCTCCACGTTTGACGTGTTTTCAATGATAAGACACTAATATTGCACAATTCCTGCTGCCTGTGCTAACTTTCTGGCAGTTTCCATGAACAAAAAGGACATTTTGTGTCATCTAAAGGAGCACATTTTAAATGTGTTTGTGTTAAAATGATCTGCTCACCTGCTGCAGCTGCAGTCTGAGCTGCTCTTTGTGACTTTCTGGCTGACTGAGGATCAGTTTCTCTTTCTCCTCACAGCTCCTCTTCAGCTCCTCCACCCTGCTCCTCTCCTGCTCCAGACTCTCTCTCTCCTGCATTTACACACAACAACAGAATAGTTGAGCATTAATACAGCAGTGTCTTTTTTTCCTTTCCAAGTTAAAAAGAAAACAGTAAAATTATCAGTTTTGTMACAGCATTAAAAATCCAGTAATTATTGCATCTGAGTCAACTTGTGTTGATGTCAGTGGACCATGTCTGACCATATTTTCCTGTAATCTCTTAAACTACTTTCACTTGTGTTATTCTGATCTCTAAACAAATGAATTAAAACTGTAATATCCACACTAATTAACATTGAAAAAGGTTGAAAACAGTTTTATTTAATTAAACGTCACGGTTTACCTTGAGCCTGTCAGCATGTTTGTGCTTCTCTCGCCGCCTGTTCTGCTGCTGCAGAACCAGCAGCTTCTGCGCCTGTCGGTGCAGCCGCTCCTTCTCCGTCTGCAGCTCTCCCTGCAGCAAGGCGATCTCCAGCTGCAGCTGAAGGGGGCAGAAGATATGACAAGAGCTGAATCACTCTGACCAAACTCCAAACAAGCCAGCGCTGTGCATTTTTCAACAATGACTTTGCTGTTGTCTGAAAACTGCAGGGGCTTTTAAACAGGCTAACATCTAGCAAACTTCAAGCTTCATCAAGTAAACTTACAGGTTATTATGAGAAATGTGATGTCTTCTTGAAGATAAGAAAATAATGTTTCTTATTTTAAAATAAATTGATTAATCACTACTTTTCCTGCAATGAGAAGTGAAATTTTCAGATAATCAAAGGGGTTTTGTGTCTCACCTCAATCTTCAGTTCTTCCCTTTGTTGGTTGATCTCTGCGATGCGATGTTGGACAGTTGATGGTAGTGGCAGGACCCTCAGTGAACCCAYCTCCAGCTTTTTAACACAGGGCTGATAGAAATAGAAAAAAAAAGCTGACATGAGAGTCATGAAGCAGTAGACTGTTGGGTTTAGAACTTGTGACTCGTGGTTTTTCATGACTATTTTTAACTWAATGGGAAAAAGACGTTCTGAACATCATTTGGGACATAAATATGATAATTACCTACAGCATACAACATCTCAATCATTTACCTTCTCGCTCTCAGTGCTGCTGCTTTCCGTGTCAGACTCTGCCCCTGAGGAGGAGGGACTCTGACCGCCGGCCACTCTGCTGATCCACGGCGGCCGCAGACCCTGCTGCCACTGGCTCCTCGAGCTCTCCATGTTATGTTGGGGCATTTCTAAACACTGAAACAAAAAAAAAAAGGGACAGTTAAAAGAAGTTCCAGAACAAGGAGAGATGTGGGGAGGCTTTTAGGGAATATTGTGGTAATCTAATCTGCTGCGAGGCGGGTCAGGTGACAGCTCAGGGAGGGGGGGGGATCTCACAGCTGAGTAACAAAACGTAGAGTAAGCACGTTAAAACACTGAAATCCCCTGAAGCGTTGCGAAACTAAACAATGATGGAGAAAACACCTCGCTTTGAAGAGAAAGCAAAAGCAAAAGAGTGAAGAGAATTGAGGATGTGCGCAGCGGTTTGTGGTTGAGTTTCAGGGCTATCGCTGAGTGAGGCTTTGATGTGGACCTGCAGTGAGACAATATATGAAAGGGATGCAAGACCACAGCATACTTTGAAGTGATCTTATATTGTACTTTTTGTTTTGTCCGTCACRTTCATGTAGGTTTAATAAAGTAAATATCATTATGGACGAGGTTTATCGTGTTCTACATCAAAGTGGTTCCCAGCATTTGGGAAGGTGTCCTCCTCCTTTAAGCCTATGTTGACATGAAGTCTTTATGCTGCCCTTTTACCCTCATTTACACGCTCTCTCTTTACCCAGAAACCACCACACCAGGAGAAACATAATGTACAAAAAAAACACAAAACCACTTTGTGGGAAAGTACATTTGATTCTTGACTTAGAAACTTTTTTCCCAGCGTTCCCTTCACCATCTGTGCCGTCCCTCAATAGATACCTTATTAGGCTGCAAGGAAGGTTAAGTAAGGGTTGAGTGGAGATAAATATAAAACAACTGGCGCACTGGCATCCAGACACAAATATGAAGCTGGAAAAGTAAAGCCAGAAGGAGAGAACTGATAAAAACKTATTCCTTGTACAAAACTTTGATTGTAAAGTTTTACAAAACTAAACAGAAATGGATTATAATGAAGATCTAAGGCAACAGATGTGATTTTATCTTGTTTGACATGTAAAGTATATATTTCAAAGTGGATGTCCCATGAAAGATAAATGTCACTAATGTAGCATGAAAGGACAGAAGATCATTACAGTCTTTCCTGTTGTAATGTTCAACACTTGACACTGATACACAAGCTCCCACGACAAAGAAACTACACATTTTTCTTAGAAATAACTATTAATAGAAAAAGGCCTGACATCTACCGGTAGTTTGGAAAAAAAATGAGGTTGAAAGCCACAAAGTTTCAGAATTACTGCATGAACTCATTTCTAAACTAGAATTTTTAACAGTGTGTACATAATGTCTCATTTCAACATTTTAAAGAGTTCACACTATCAAGATATTTTTATTCTTCTGTTTCTTTTCGGTRCATATCTTGTTCCACAAGTTTCCACATTTTATATTATATCACAACATTCAGCTCTTTCAGGACATTCCAGCTAWGACTTTTGGCTTTTCACATTCCATCAGCTTCTAATTTGTTGATTTTAGCTTTTTTCYGCCTTTTTAGCTGTCATTCTGACATTTTCTACTWTTCTTTTACTAATTTAAGTTTTGTACGGTTTGTTCAGCTTTCTTCTATGTGTTTTTAGCTACTGTTTAGCTAATTTTAACTTTTTCTGCCAAATTCACTTTTTTGTGATAATTTGCTTTTTACTGCTTAATTCGGCAGTTTCTTTGTGATAATTAAGCTATTTCAGTGACTGTTTTAGTT